ACTCTGTCTGACAATTTCTATCACTCTGTCTTACACTTTTTGTCATTATGTCACACTTTCAGTCACTCTGTCTCACACTTTTTGTCTCTCACACTTTTTGTCACTCTCACTTCCTGTTTCTCCGTCTCTCTTCCAATTCCTCTGTCTCATGCTTACTGTTCATCTGTTTCCTACTTCATTCACTCTCTCACACTTCCTGTGGCTCTCTCACACTTCCTGTGGCTCTCTCACACTTCCTGTTCTTTTGTTTCACACTTCTTGCTTCTCTATCTCACTCTTCCTGACACTCTATCACACTTTCTGCCTCTTTGTCTTATACTTTGTGTTCCTCCGTCTCACACTTCCCATTGCTTTGTCTCACACCTCCCATTTCTTTGTCTCACACTTCCTTTTTCCCTGTTTCACACTTCCTGTTCCTCCGTCTCACTCTTGGTCTTTTTGTTTACACTTTGTCTCTCGGCTGCAGCTCTTTGGGTTCAGACCGGTTTACTCCAGGTGCAGTCGGACTCTTCAGTTGTTTTTAAACGTTCTGTGGACGCTGTGCTCAGCTGTGGGTGCGTTTGGTTTGTTGGCGGTCGATTGGTGCGTTGATGGGTGGTGTCTCACCTTTAAACATTCCTGTCATTCTGCTTCCTGTCTCGGCTTGCAGAGAACGAGACTCCTTCCTTTTAAAAAGACGCAGAGAGGAATGAATCTGAGCTCAGACCAACAAACCTGTTCAACCCACCGAGCGTCTCTCTGCACAAGAAACCAAATCATGTTTCAGTTTTCTCCGCTGAATTCAGCTCGTTTCTATGAATGTTGGTTAAAAACGTTAAAAGATCTGTCTGGTGACACTTTCCAGTTTGAAGAAATTTTATATTTTCAATATTTTAAGGCTGAAGGTTTATTTTAAATTTAGCCTTATGGCTTTTTGAAAAAGTTTCTGTCCGCACACAAATACTAATTTATTTAATTCCTTCAAACTAACTAAAAATGTATGACACATGTTTTTTTTCTTAAATATTTATTTTTAAAATATATTGTTTACAAAATTCAATTTTTTCAAACATTTATTTTTTGAAAGCCTTTTTTTAAATGTTTTTTTGTTCTATTTATTTGTAATAAATATTGGTAGTTTAGTTTTAATGTTGTTGTTGATGTTCATTTTCCATTTAATTGTATTATAATTAACTGCATAATAAATTAAAATAGTTACCGGTAAACAAAATATGAAATACAATATGATAGAAATAAAATAAACACACAGTTTAAGTATTAAACAAATTTATAAACTGACATTTATTTATATAACTTATAGTCATGGTAAAATATCTGCATTTCTAAAATACACATATTGTTGTTAAATAAACTATCATTCTGCATTATTATATGCATAAGTTGTTGATAGATGTTTATATAATGCTGGTATAAAAATAAAAATTAATATAGTTGTGTCACTAATGGACACTTTGCAAAATTCAATTACTGGTAATATAAATGAAAGTTGAATGAATTAATAAATAAATTCATATAAGAATTCATATTTTAATATAAATACAGTAGTCCCTTGTTTATTGCGGGCGTTTGGGACCCCCCCCCCCCCGCGATAAGTGAAACACCATGAAGTAGGGAGACGGTAGTTCAAGTTCAAGTTCAGTAAACTTTGTCATGACGTGTGTCAGGCTGTAATCACACTCCTGTTACTCCCAATCTCCTCCTTAAATAAACAGTTTAAATTTAAATATTGTAACATTTTAAATAAACAATCCATGCTGCATGGATTGTTTATTTAAAATGCTACAATATTTTAGTACTTGTATATTTATCTACAGTATATAAATCTTGAAAATAGGTTTTTAATCTCAATGGGGTTTTTATCCTGGTAACATAAAGGTTAAATAAAAAAATTTAAATAACAGAAAACATAATTATAACAACATTATAATTGATTTCATGGATTTTTTTTTTTTTATAAACAATTTTTTTTAAACTGAACAACTTTTTAGATTCATGGCAGTCACCAGAGAAAACTGACATTAGCAAACACTAAAATAACTCAGTCAAATTTACAGATGTTGAGTTAAATGCTGGTGTGGCAGTAGCTGCGAGTCATCTTAGACTCACATCTGAGCACTAACAGATTATGCATCATGTTTTTAAAGACAAACATGCAGGGTGATAGGCATTACTTTATAAAGATACATTTTATATCAATTAGAGCTGATGTTCCCATAATCCAGCTGTGTTCAGTTAAATAAATAATTCTTGTGATGAGAACATGGAGTTGAGTTGTTTCTGTGTTGCAGCTCACGTGGAGAACGAGGAGCAGTACGTTCAGTCCATGGACAAATTTGGTCTCAACTGTGTGAACAAGGGAGACACCGTGGTGGGCGCCGCCTTCAGCATGTTCTCTGAACACAACAAAGAGATGACGGCGCTCTTCAAAAACCTGGTAGGGTTCTGAGACCAGCAGAAAGCCAGACCTGCTGAGGTGGTTTGTTGAATAAACTGGACTTCCTGTGTGCAGATGCACAACATGACCGGCATCAGCTTCCCTCTGGGCAACCTGCTGAAGGGAGACCTGAAAGGAGTCAAAGGGGTTCGTGGCTCAGAGTTTTAAACTTCACACTCTGTCACATTTTGTATCACTTATAACACCTGTTATAAACACCATCACAACACCATCATTACACCTGTTATAAACACCATCACAACACCATCATTACACCTGTTATAAACACCATCACTACACCATCATTACACCATCACACCATCATTACACCTTTTATAAACACCATCACAACACCATCATTCCACCATCACAACACCATCATTTCACCTGTTATAAACACCATCACAACACCATCATTACACCATCAACACCCATTGTTACTCCTGTTAATCCCACCTTTTGAAAAACACCTTTTGTGATCGTCTAACAGTTGTTCTTAACAAATGTCTGTTAATAAGATCTGTTATGAACACCATTATAAGTATCTGTTATGAACTCTGGTATAACCTGTTGTTTACAACAGCTGTTAAAATACCTTTCATTATTGTTATCATCAGTATTAAACTTGCGTGTTATTGTGGTGAATATCTCCAGAGTGACTCTGGGGTCAGAGTCCTCTCGAGGTTCTGCTGCTGACTTCAGACTTTGTGACGTTCCTGTTTTTCTTCAGGACCTGAAGAAGCCGTTTGATCGAGCCTGGAAGGATTACGAAACCAAGCTGTAAGAAATAAGACCAGTTAGCTCATATAAGCTAAGCAACACTGTAGTATGTCAGGACAGCTGTTGCTGTGGACATCCTATTCATTAATTATTCTTAAGGCTAGTTCAAGCACAAAGAATATTAACTGTTTAATTAACAACGGATTCTTTCTTTTTTTGAGTTAAATTTCTGCCATGTAACCAAGAGAACTTGAGATTGGAGTGTATAATTAGTGACATGAGACGTCATTTATCTTTGACCCATCAGAATAAATGCAGTCATTTATTTAACAGAATCTAAATTAACATCAAACATGTACACTTGATTTGCTGATCTGTTTCTGATTAATAAACTTAGCAAGTTCAAATAACAAGACAACAGAGGATTACTGATGGAGAATAATTCATCTCTGAAGGCATTTAGCTTGATTTACTGGCAAAGAGGTTTAAAGAGGAGAGATGTAGATGGATGGAGGAAAGTATGTTGACCAAGAATGGCACCCTTCATCCGACCCCAGCTCAGCCCCGTTACACTCGGTGCGTGACGACTCGTGACGACTCGTTACCTGAGCAGAAGATAAATCAGCTCCGGGACAGAGGTCCATTTCCACGCTACCTTTCAGCGTCTCCGGTCAGAGTGGCTGAGAATCGTCCGAAGTAGTGTCCAGATACTCCGTTCAACAGAATAAGCTTCCTTAGAAGGAATCTTCCTTAGAAGTTGAGAGCATTTAATGCTCGGGGTGAGATCACAGCGAGGCGTGCTGTGACTCCGCTGAAATGGACGGACCCTTGGCTCATGGTCCAAAATCCATCAGCTATTAGAGTAGAGACTGTTAGACCTTAGCCTCATGTTAGTCTGAAAGTTCCAGTAAGACTGAATAGTTCCAGGAAGTGTTGACTTTTAAAGGGTATCCACTTCCTGTTACTTGGTACTTCCTGATTGGTTAACACAACCAGCAGGGGTGGAGTTTTAGTGATGTCAGAGGGTTATTAGAAGTCACAGACAGCAGACATGTTTTTAAGAACGGTTAGTAACGGACAGGAAAATATTTTGAAGCAGTGACAGACTTGCAGGTTCCAGTTCTTATTTACCATCTGAGTTTTAAAACAAAGCACTTTGTTCTCATAACTTGTTCTCTGACTTCTGACAGACATCAACACCCCACTCCTCATTCAGACAGAAGAGTAAAATGCACAATTACTTTGTAAATAGACATTTAACTTGTATGATCTAAGTCTAATGAGGTTTAAAAATAATTAATACTGTTTCACAGTTGATTTAAATGAGTGATTCACTTCAACATTGGAAATGATATGAACTAAACACACTTTGATTATCAAGATATTGTAAAATAGTAATGATAATATAAAAAGAAGAGTGTTCTTTCAATTGATTAATTCAGGATACAATTAGAAAGTCTCTTGATGAGATAATTTGTATTTCTGGATTCAAATCAATGAAATAACAGTTCCTGTCCCCTGAAGGTCTTCAGAGACAGATTGATGTCGGAGGTCCAGTTCACTACAACACACACACCTGTTCATTTAATAAAGAAAGAAAAAGCTAAAAAAAAATACAGCCACTTGCAATGAACGTTAAGATTTATAGTGTTATTTTTCAGTCACATGGCTCTGTTAAAGGAGATGAACTGTTTTTGTGTTTTAAACTTTTTAACTCTGATATAAAAATGATCCATTTTTGTCACATTTTACAACTTCTGAATAATGTGAGGAGCATTTAGTGCCAGAAGTCGTTCAGCCTTTGGGTATCTTGCGTTTAAAACAATGTTTTAAGGTGACTTTGAATGTGTGCAGAGCAAAGATCGAGAAGGAGAAGCGGGAACACGCCAAGCAACACGGCATGATTCGGACCGAGTTCAGCGGAGGGGAGATCGCAGAGGAGATGGAGAAGGAGAGACGAATGTTCCAGCTTCAGATGTGTGAGGTCAGCAGGTGCTTTTGTTCTCGTTCGTTTTTATTTTCACCGAAGAGAGAACTTTCTGACAGGACTGACGAGCTGAAACTACCGTTATGGTCTGAAAACAACTCCAATCTGAGAAAATGAACTGCGATTCATGCAAATGCTGGTTTAAAACCTTTACACTGTTGCTTTACTATTGTGGTATTCCTGCAGGATGTGCTACAGCTGGCTGCTGCTGCTATTAGCACTACCACATAGTTACAGAATTCTTTGTGAATAAGTATAAAAGATGAAAATGGAAACTCTGTAGAGATTTAAAAAATAATGTTTCCATGAAACCTTTTTAAAATAAATTAAATTGGTGTTTTTACACAGAACCACACTTCAAAATGTTCAAACTTTCATAATTCCCAGACTATAGAGTGCACCCAAATTTAAGCCACGCACACTAAATTAAAAACAAAACAAGTTTGTACATGTATAAGCCACGGGTGTTCACGTTGTAACATGACTTCTGTTGTGACTTGATGCTATTTAAATAAACTGAACTGAATTGGCAGCACAGCTACTGAGAGACGTGCAGCTCCTGTAGCTCAACAATCAACCACCAGATGGTGTTTTATACACTTTATTTTACTGTTCAATACACAGACCGAGAGAAGCCCACAGGTCGTCATGACAACCACCTCCCTCATTTATGGTCACTCTACTGAATGGCCGAACACAAACTAGTCTAACAAGAACAGACTAATCACTAAAACACTAATGCTGAACAGCTAACTGAAATGATTAATAATGGACATAAATCCATAATCCCTCTCTGATGCCATGTAACCAGCAGTCAACCACAATGAACCACAGAATACTACAATACGTACCGCTAACGTACAACGTACACAAATACTACAGTAAATGTTTTTTTTCCTGAACAGTGCCGGTAACACGGCTGATTTAAAAAATACAGTTCCCTACCAGGAAGTCATTGATGCCATCTTCATATTTCTCAAGCTGTCCTCCTGCGCTGCGGAGCAAAGTTGCTCTGTGAGCATGTGAGACTCACATGCTCTGTGCATGCAGAGGGTTCCATCCCCTGGTTCTTTCCTCCCTTCCCAATTTCATTGGTCTACTGTGACCTGTTCGATAATTTCACTGGTCAGATTTGTTTTTTAACCTTTATTGATACAGGTAGTCTCATGGGGTCACAGGGACCCCCCACCCCCAAGAGAGACATGTACTGGGCAGTTATGTGAGCGCCCGGGTGTGACGAGGCTAAATGTTTGGGTGGCAGGAAGTTCGTTAGCCCATTATAAAAAAAATCCATAGATTAGCCGCAGCGTTGTATAAGCCACGGGGTTCAAAGCCTGTGAAAAAGTAGCGGCTTATATACCGAAAAGTACGGTAATTTTATGAATATTTTCATAAAAAAAAAATTTTCTGCTTCCTGTCTGCAGTATCTGCTCAAAGTGAACGAGATCAAACTGAAGAAAGGCGTCGACTTCCTGCAGAACCTCATCAAGTACTATCACGCTCAGTGCAAGTGAGTCACGCTACGTCAGAAACTCATTAAAAAACGTCTTTATTTATTCAGTTAGTTCATTTTATTCAGTTAGTTCATTTTATTCAGTTAGTTCATTTTATTCAGTTAGTTCATTTTATTCAGTTAGTTCATTTTATTCAGTTAGTTCATTTTATGTTGTAAAATGAAGAAATGAGAATCCTGAACCGTACCCACCAACAGGTTCAGTTTATTTTAGCAAGATTCAAAAAAGGAGAAAGACGAAACAATAGAAAGATGCTGTAAAAGTCCAACCAGGTCCATCTTTCGAAACGTCTTGCGTGTTTTTTTATTTTATTAAATGAAACATTAACAGGCTTTTTGTTCTGAAATAAGAAGCAACATTTTGTTTTGGATCCAGTTTTTTTCAGGATGGACTTAAAGCTGTGGAGAGTCTGAAGCCATCTGTAGAGAAACTGGTGACGGACCTGGCAGCGGTGAGGACAAGCTGGTTCCCACTGAGGGAGGTGTGTCAGGCAGGACGCTGGCGCTGAAGTTTGTTTCTGTTCAGATCAAACAGGTTCAAGATGGAGAGAAGAAGCAGCTGAATCAACTCAAAGATGTGCTGAAGGCGTCGCTGCAGTCGGAGCAAAAAGAGGTGAACACTCAACAGCACTATTTAAAGAAAAAAAGATTTGCTCCGTACGTTTCTTTATTTTTAGCTTGGTATTATCCTCCATTTAAAAACAATCCATCCAGGAAATAAAAGTCCAAAACCATTTTCAAACACGTGCCCTGCCAGCAGGAGGTGACGTACAAGAGAACAGCGTGTCTTTCTGAGCACAGCTCGACTCTTTCTAAATGTTTGATGGTTTCTGCTGATCTGTGACTGTTGGTAACAAATCACTGATAACAATAGCGGGGGAGTCTCCAAAATGTCATAATGCATTTTTGTTAATTTTCACTTTCCTCTCATGAGTTGCAGCATGTCACTCTCACTGTGCAATTTTCAGCATGTTCAAAACATTAACAAGACCAGTCTTCTCTCAAAGTAGTTGCAGAGATGTTGCAAGCATCTTAAGCCCGTCTTGGACCTGCCTGAGGCCTGCCTCGTAACCCCGAACCTGTCTCAATCCTGTCTCAACCCTGTCACAAACCTGCCTCAAACCTAGTCTCGTTCCAGTTTCATTTCAGTCTCAATCCTGTCTTGAACCTGTCTCGAACTTTCTCAGTACTGTTACAAACCTGCCTCAAACCTAGTCTCGTTCCAGTTTCATTCCAGTCTCGTTCCAGTTTCAATCCTGTCTTGAACCTGTCTCGAACCTGCCTCAAACTTTCTCAGTACTATTGCAAACCTGTCTCAATCCTGTCTCAACCCTGTCACAAACCTGCCTCAAACCTAGTCTCGTTCTAGTCTCAATCCTGTCTTGAACCCGTCTCGAACCTGCCTCAAACTTTCTCAGTACTGTTGCAAACCAGTCTCAAGCCTTGTCTTGCTCCTGCCTCAAACCTCCAAACCTATCTCGAACCTGTATCAAATCTGCTTCAATCCTTGACTTGATCTTGTCTCAATCTTTTCTCAAACCTGCCTAAAATTGTGTCTATCCTGTCTTGAACCTGCCTTGAACCTGTCTCAATCCTGTCTCGAACCTGTCTCTTTGAGTCAGGAACAAATGTGGGACCATTTGGAAGGGTTTGGTGAGGTGAAACTCAGCTGAGATGGACTGGAGACAAATCAGAGCATTCTGGTTCCCTGAGAGTGTGATATGAGAATAAAATTTAAATAAATTGCAAACATTTTGAGACACAATTAAAACAGCCTAAATTGTTACAAAGAAATTGTCAGTTTGCTAAATATACGTGTGTTTGGTTTTACGTGTTTCTTAAACATTGCATTCAAAATCTATTTTATTGTTCAGATCTTTTATTCAAATCTACAACAAATATCTAAATATTTAATATATTTTGACGTTGCTACTGAAGTTTTAATCAGTGATATGTTGTTTTGGTGTGAATGTAATTCGACAGAAACTGAAATGTTCATTAATAAGATATTTAACGTCAGGATTCTCAGGCGAAGCAGAACTCTGGTTACAGCCTCCATCAGCTGCAGGGGAACAAGGCTTTCGGCACCGAACACAACGGAGTCCTCTGCAAGAGAAGTGAGGGGTGAGTGAACTCAGTGTTCCAGAATGCAACAGGAAATGTATTCCAATTTAAATTTTAGTGACTGTAGAGTTCAGTTTTTATGTGTTGTAGGAATAAATGAGTCCACAGGCATTTTGGTTGGTTTCTAACTGTTACCTGTCGTCTCAGGTTGAGAAAAGTGTGGCAGAAAAGAAAGTGTTCAGTCAAAAATGGCCTCCTGACCATCTGCCACGGCACGGTAAGACGACACGTCTCGTTAACGGTTCTCCTGCATGATGAGCTCCCGTCTTCCTGCATGTCCAACCAGAAGTCTCCTCATGGGTTATTTGTAGAGCTGGGGGACGGAGAGCACTTCAGATTTAAAACAACAAAGTCCATGCTCAATAATCCAGGTACACAATCCAACATTTTTCAGTCAGGTGATCTGGACGGTTTCTTTTTTGATGAAGCCTTCAAGACCGCAGGCGAAACATTTCAGCACAAAAAAAAAAAAGAAATTGTCCAGATGACCTGACTGAAAAATGTTGGACGCTTCAGGTTTAGTTCCACATTTATTCCTTTTTCTTCTTCCTTTTTATTTGGAAGTTTGTTCACAAAGAGTCGAGGAACGAATCGGGATAAAGCAAGGAAGAGGAGAAGAAGAAGAATGAAAGAAATGTTTGAGAAGAACGAGTCTGGACCTAAATCTAACACTGAAGTACCTAAAATAATATTTTTGCACAAAAACGATAATTTCCAAGAGCTAATAGAAAAGTAGTGTTAGCACCGATAACGTGACTGTTAGCATTAAGATGCTAACAGGCTAATACTAAGTAGCGTGTGCCCTACGTCCTTGATAGCATGCTAACACACATTTACAGTTTGAAATACAAAAAATTGAAATTTTACACCAAACAGGAGATTTCTAAAGAGCTAATAATATCAGGGTAGTGTTAGCACTGCTAACATACCTGCTAACGTCAAGATGCTAACAAGCTAATGCCTTGCACTTTGTTCTTATTAGCATGTTAGCAATAATTTATTTAGCACTAAATAGCTTTTTCACTCTTAATAGAAGCCATGTGTTGTTTAGTTGAAGATTATTTAGCATTAACTAACTTAACACTTGCTTCCATCTTACTGAAACAACTTGACCGTATTAGAATTTCGGGACAGCCACTAACATGGTTCTGTAATTATCTTTTGAGTAGGTCGCAGCAAGAGAAGCTTGACTCTCATACTTCAGTTTATTCTGGTTATGTCAGGTGCACCCCAAGGCTCCATTCTTGGTCCAACTCTTTTCTCCATACAGTAGTCCCTCACTACGTCGCGGTTCGTTTTTCACGGACTCGAAACATGGTTTAGAATATTGGAAGAGTGTGGGAAGGGTTTAAAACACCTTTATATGTGTGTGTGTGTGTATATATATAAATAAACTACTACTTACTTGTACTACTATTCCTACTTCACGGTTTTTCACTTATTGCGGGGCTTCAGGGTACAGATCCCCTGCGATAAACGAGGGACTACTGTATTTATAATTGATATCTGACATTCTGTCAGTGAGGCTCCATCCATTGATATGCTGATGACACCATTCTGTGTGCTTCTGGTTCCACTCCGGATGAGGTTGTGAAGTCCCTGCATGTGGTCTTCTTGAAGCCCAGCAGGTCTTTTATGACTTAAATTGGTCCTTAAACGCCAAGAAAACTAAATGTATGTGGTTTGGACATGGAGGAGGAACCAGACCCACCTCGGTGGACTTCACCACTGTAAACAGCGATATTATAGAAGAGGTAACATTTTATAAATATTTGTGAATTTGGACCGATGGAGCTCTGTCCTTTTCACATCATGTTAATGTTTTACAATCTAAGGTCAAAGACAGACTTGGTTATCTATGTAGAAATAGATCTTTGTTTACCCTGGCTGCAAAACGCACCATTGTTGAACAATCCATTCTACCTGTGCTGGATTATGGAGACATCATTTACCAACATGTTAAGAGTGTCCTTTGTAAGCTGGACTCAATTTATCACTGTGCTATTGTCTTTGTTACAAATGCTCCTTATAGATCATTGTCTCCTCTACTCTCGTCACGTGCACCTGTGTCTCCCTTCACGTGCACCTGTGTCTCCCTTCACGTGCACCTGTGTCTCCCTTCACGTCACATTTAGCATCAGGTCATGATGAGTTCACATGTTTCACAGAAAATATTAACATATTTCCTGCAATAATTGGTTTATTAAAAAATAAGAAAGAATGAACTCATGAGAGAATTAAGGTTATTTTAGAAGTGGAGGTCAACTGTCAGCTCTGGACCAAAGATATTCTGGAAAGTTCTCAGGGTTCATCATCTGGAGACGATGATCGTTTTAGGATGAACTGCAGCAGAGGACCAGTGATGATCAGTGTTTGTGTGAAACTTTAGAGCTGCACGTCGTAAGTTTGAATGTGTTGTTTGAACACGTCGTCTCATCCTGCCTTCTGTTCTCGCTGGACGTTGTTCTGAAGACCAACAAAGCTCCAGCCAGACTCAACCTGCTCACCTGCCAGGTGAAGAGGAACCCAGAGGACAAGAAGAGCTTCGACCTGTTTTCACGTATGCATCCTTCCTAAACGTCAAACAGCACAAACTTTCTTTTTTAAGCCGAACCGACGTTTGTCTTTCCTCCTCCAGATGACAGGACCTACCACTTCCAGGCTGAGGACGAGGCCGAGTGTCAGATGTAAGACCTGACGGTGCGACCGCGGCTGCTGGCGCCGCTTGTTCTGACGGTTGTTTCGTGTTTCAGCTGGGTGTCGGTGCTGCAGAACAGCAAGGAGGAGGCGCTGAACAAGGCCTTTAAAGGAGGTCAGGACGAAGGGGAGAACAACATCGTGCAGGAGTTGACCAAAGCTATCGTAGGAGAGGTGAAGAGGATGAGCGGCAACGACAGCTGCTGCGACTGTGGCGCTCCGGGTCAGTCGTCGTACCTCAACGTACTGCGTGAACTACAACCTCCGGTCCTTTAGTGTCTCTCTGGGCTGCAACAGGTGGAGACTAGCTGGACTCAAAACTCTTTTATTCAGCAGTTTTTCTGACTCCTGCGTGTTTGCCACCAGTGAGCCGTGCGGCTGTTTCGTGTGAACCGTTTTTAAAAGTCACTGTATTCTGGGCCTTGCACTGTTTTTGTTACCAACCACCACGTTTGACTCGCCTTGGCAGCCACCTGTACGGTTCTCGTTTAATTTACTGAAGCTCACTTTAAGGTTCGTCATCGACACGACCAGACCTGGACGTTCTGTAGACACAAGGACAGGTGCGAGAGCCAAACTGATGCTCAGTCATCCAGGTAAATTAATCCAAGAAGTCCGGTCACCTGGACGGATTCTTCGTGGTTGAAACGTTTCGTCTGGATGACTGAGCGTGCATCAGAACATTTCAAACCACTTTGACCAGGTTTGTCTCAGGCTAGTTCTGTGAATAGCAAGTGGCCGTCAGGGCTCTATCGATTGATTGTTAGTGTGATGGTCCTCCTTTACATGTGAACGCATTGAGGGGATTGATGGTCCTTTAAATGAAGTGTCAGAAAAATGATCCTGCAGAATGTTCTGAAGCACGTTCCTGAGCAGCACCAACGACCAGCCATGACTTGGAGCAGAAAAGTCCTACATGTTCTGGACTTTCTCTGCTCACCGGTGAAGTTCTTTTCTACACCAGCTGGGAAATCCTGGTGTCCACGTCTGGGATGAGATGTTCCTTCAAAAGACGTCAAAGATCCAGACTTATTTTAACCCAGGGCCTATCCTGGTTATCAAGACAAATTAAACCATTTTCTCTGGATCTTCTCATTAGCAGAAGTATCTACGTATCTACAGAGCCAGAAATTAGGAAACTAGCTTTGTTCAGTTTGACCCAAAACCACTGAACCCTGAAGGTTTGATGGTCACAAATCTTTTGAAGGTGTTCAGAATTCAGGCGACGGACTCTAACCCCTCACACGATGGAACTGAGAACCCTTACAAACATTTCAAGACATTCTGTCGTATTCTCCTCTCCAACTCGCCTCCATCGGTTTCAGCCCAGTCAAGATCTTTTCGTCTCCTCGACAAACTGTGGCGTGTATCTTCTGTCTTTCGTGGAGAAACACGGTTTCATTTCAGTATGTACTTGTACATAGATGACATGACAATAAAACCTCTCTGACTCTTCCTCACGGTGTGTTCAGTCTTCATCAGTCTTCTAATTCACTCCTCCTCCTCGCCTCAGGTCCTACATGGCTGTCCACCAATCTCGGGGTCCTGATCTGTATCGAGTGTTCAGGGATCCACAGGGAGATGGGGGTCCATTACTCCAGGATCCAGAGTCTGGACCTGGACGTTCTGGGAACATCTGAGCTTCTGGTGAGTCCACTTCACTGTTGTTGGTCAAATAAAGTGAAACAGAGCATCAAGGCAGAGCAGATCCCAAAACTTTGAGCTCTTAGTCCCGTCATGAAGAGAAGATGGGACTTGAAGAACCCTCTGTCTGTCTGTCTGACTGTCTGTCTGTCTCTGTCTGTCTGTCTGCCTGTCTGTGTGTCTGCCTGTCTGTCTGTCTGTCTTGTGGTAACTTGTAAAAATAAGCAGCGTGCTGACTTCATGTAGACGTGTGGCTGCATCAAAGGTCATTATCAAAATTGGGTTCCCACGTTAAAATCCAAGATGGCCACACGTGTAAACTGACCACTCCCACCATCTGATGAAACTCTGCTTTCTAGTTTTTAGATTGCTCAAAAGTAAAATTTCCTCGAGTGATTGGAGTGGCCCTTAGGGTGGCCGAAAATTAATCTATGGTGGCCAAGGCCACCAGTGGCCACCCCGTGGCTCCTCCACTGCACCTGGTGGTGATGAAGCTGCTCCCTCCACTCCCACAGGTCCAACCAACCTGAATATCTTTCACCTTCATTCTCTGCTCAGTTCCAGTCCAGTGCTGCTTGTTGAACGTGTTTTCAGTCCACTTCCTGGACACGAGCAGTGCAACAAACTGCAGCCAAGTGAGGAAACGAGACGTGGAAACAGCCTGGACTGCAATAAATCAGACGTCATTATATTTGAAGGACCATGTAGTCATGCTCTGCAGTGTCTGAGAGTCGTGTCGTTAAAAACCAGAGAACTGAAATCCCACAAAGACCAGAGAACAGGACCTGAGAGCTGCTTCGTTCTGTGTTTGTCAAAAAACAAAAACTAGGTGGAGGTTGAAGTCCAACAGTCTGAACAGAGAAAATGTTCTTAGAGCTGACGGACTTGTTCTTGGTTGTGTTTCAGTTGGCGAAGAATGTAGGAAACGCCAACTTCAACGAGATCATGGAGGCGGATCTGCTGGCGCAGGGTGGAACCAAACCGGATCCCAAGAGCGACATGTAAGTTCCGGTCCCTGCAGGTGAAAATACTTTAACCGTACAGGAGGAGGGTCGGAGCTTCGTGGGGTCGTGATGATGTCACAGCGTCGCTCTCTCTCGGGTCTGCAGGCAGGTGAGGAAGGATTACATCACGGCGAAGTACACGGAGAAGCGCTTCGCCCAGCGGCCGTCCACCGACGACAAGCTGATGCTGCAGGCTCTGTACGAATCCGTCAGGAACCGGGACATCCTGTCCCTCATCCAGGTGTACGCCGAGGGGGTGGACCTGATGGATGTCCTCCCCCAGCCCAACGAGCATGTACGACCACACACACAGAATATAAATGTCAGCTGATACAGACAAGTTCAGTTTTTTTGGTTCCGTTTTCTTATTTTCTGACCTGCCATGGTCCTCTAACTGTTTCGTCTTTGTTTTTTAGTCGTATTTGTCTCTTTGAATTGTCTCTTTAAAATTAATTTGTGCAGATTTTCCTTTTTTTTAAGATTAATCAGAGACTAATTATGGATAATTTTTGGGGAAACCGGTGAACAAGTCTAGAGTTTTGCTGTGAGTCATGTCAGAATGTAATCTTTTGGTTTCCTCCGGTGTCTCTTACTGCTAACGGACTGAAGGTTTTTGTCTCAGTGGGACACACAAACTCTCTGGACTTCCTCTGTATCTGAGCTCAGATTTTAGCTTTGGGAAGTGGAGAAGGCTCTCGTCTCCTACGTAAAACACTGTTGTTAAAAAAGTTTGCGCACGTGACCACCACAGCCACAACCTGCTGCCACGCACAGGTAGGCCTGTCACGATAACACATGTTGCTGGGCCATTAATTGTCTCAGAAATTATTGTGATAAATTATAATATTGTTTGAAATTTGACAGTAGTTAGTAATTATTCCTCATTTATCATGCAGTTAATTGACTTGTTTCTTGTGACGGGCTACTCACGGGTTCATTTTGAATTGAATATGAATGATCATTTCCACACAGACACCGTTTCAGGCTCACTTTATAGATCTGTGCTTCAGTCTGATGACGAGTCTGCTGCCCCTCCACCTTGTGCTCCCCAGAAAAGGCGGCAATCACCACGGCAACCAGTGACTCACAGGAATCACCGTGGCAACCAGGGACTCACTGCCTCCATAGACCCTGCAGGATGTGAACAGTTTTGTCCATTCAGAGAATCTTTGTGTAAAAACGTTGCGGTTCGGGCCACATTAAAGTTGTTGGAGAAGCGAGACCCTTGTCAGGTGGATAATGGAGGCCGCCTTCAGGCAGTCCCCAATAAAAAGGAAGAGGGTTAAACCTGGAGTTTCAAAGTAAAGCTCAGATATACCCTTCAAAATAAAAATCTGACTTTGGTCCCAAATTTCTGTTGAATTTTCCTTTTGAAGTTCATGGATGTTTGAGTTTTTGGCAGCAGCATCACTGTTGCTCAAACTTTCTATTTTTTCTTGTTTATGTTAAAATCTTTTTCTTTTTTGTTGTAACTTTTTTAGTTTTTAAACTCTTTCTGTGTCTCTGTGGTCTTTAACCGCCCTCCAGTTGCAGATGGGCCGGGTCATGTGCTGACTCTGGTGTTTGTTTCCATCAGGAACCGGGGGAGACGGCGCTCCACCTGGCGGTCAGAATGGTGGACAGGAACTCTCTGCACATCGTGGACTTCCTGGCTCAGAACAGGTGAGCTCAGGTGTTTCCTGCCGGCAGCGTTCGGGCCGCGCGGCTCTGACTCGTGTTGCGGTTCTGAATGTTTTCAGCGGTAATCTGGACAAGCAGACGGCCAAAGGAAGCACGGCTCTTCATTACTGCTGCCTGCTGAACAACAGCGAGTGCCTCAAACTGCTGCTGAGAGGAAAAGCTTCAGTCTCCTCCAGTAAGAGCTCCTCAGCAGAACCTCTCGACGTTCGACTGAAGAGAAACGTTCTCCGTGTTTTGTGTCCGCAGCAAACGAAGCAGGAGAGACTCCTCTGGACATCGCCAGGCGCCTGCAGCACGCTCAGTGTGAAGAGCTGGTGAGATTTTACTGACACGGATTAAACGTACAAATAGTCGTTTTATTTCATCGCAAACTTGGACAGTTCTGTAAAAACAGGCGGAGCGCCGATGTCCCCCTTCACTGAGGGCTCTGAACAGTGAACGTCTGTAGTTCTGGACATGAGTGTTTTTCTGGACCAAGTAAACCTAAATGTTTTTGGTGAAAGATGCTCAAGTTGGTAAATTATGCTGTGTGTATAAAAATGATGAATCCTGGAGGGGAGGGAGCAGTTTAATCGCCACCAGGAGCAGTGGTGGAGCCAGGGGGGGCTCAACGGTGGCCTTTACCCCACAGATGAATCTTTGGCCACCCCGGTCATTTGAATAAACTACTTTTAAACAATATAAATCATAGTTTCCTCATGATGGGGTGGCTGGTTTACATATATATTGGTGGAGGCCATCTTGGACTTTGCTGAGACAACCCAATTTTTGATTATGACCTTTATTCCACCTAAATGCTGCCTCACACCAAGATGGAAGTCGGTTCCTCGTAGGGTTTTAACAGACTACTCGAGTAATCGACACATCGATTCCTACGACATCTATCGAGTTTTTTAATGTCACGTCGAGTATTCGTGGTGACGTCATTACGCCCCCGTTACGTCATCGTGTCATCGTGTCACGTGATCCGCACCGGGCGCGGGTTACAAAATGGATCCCTCCAAGCAGACGGACTGAGTGGAGCAGGTCCAGTCTTGACAAACAGGTTGAAACGCATCAATAGTCTGTAAATATTTCACTAAAGACGAATCTTCCAGTTCAACTACCGTAAGGAAACAGAAGATGAATCAACTTCCTGACTGTTTGGAGCTCGTTGTGAACCGGTGTTGCACCATATTCTGTGACCACCGTATATTGTGACTGTAGGGGGCGGTGTTGCATGCACTGTTGCAGGTCACAGAATATGGTGCAACACCGGGTCCAGTCGACCGATTCAGAACCAGCTTCCTCTGACCTTGTTTCACAAACAAAAAGCAAAAAATATTAATCTCTAAAACTAAACTTAATGCACCACAGCTGGTGGTGGTGTGGGGTGGTCGACCCCCCCACTGGTTTTAGTTTTGTTTTTGACGTGCTGCACGTTTCTTTCACTTTTACAGCTTAATAATAATAACTAATAGTTTAGTTTTTCCTGTGACTTATTTGCAGTTTGATAAATGGGAGGAGCATAATATATGCTCCCATTGTTTGTTGGTCTTTTTTATTGTAAATAATGACCTTTTTTGCGGTTTTATTTATTTATTTTTGTATCTTTAGATCCTATGATGTCATCAAGTACTCGAGTTCATTCTGATTCTGATTCTGATTCTGATTCTATCAAGTACTCGAGTTTTATTATGTTCGAGTTTAAAAATGATGTAGTCGTTCAACCCCTAGTTCCTCGTTAGTTTTCATGTCGTGCTCACAACAGCTGAGAGGAGACGACAAACCGACCTGGACGGGAAAACAACATGAAGTTTACGTGCAGGAGCAGGACTTCTGTCGGCTGGTGTTACGTTTAAACCTCACCCCCACGTTATGTTATTGGAAGAGAAGCGTTCGTTCGAAAAACAACTTGAACTGGTCTGAAGTAAAAAAACAACTTGAACTGGTCTGAAGTAAAAAAACAACTTGAACTGGTCTGAAGTAAAAAAACAACAACTTGAACTGGTCTGAATGGACTTGAAGGTGAGGGGGGTCAGAGCCAACCCACCCCTGACGCTCCGTTAGGCCGTGTGGTGGTGTAGTCGTCTCAAGTTAAAATATTTATTAATTTAAGCAGCAGTTTGATGTTACTCTGTTCTTGTTGCTTGTATAAACTGTTTGTTTGTTTGTTTGTTTGTCCTCCAGCTGACTCAGGCTCAGACGGGAAAGTTCAACGTCCACGTTCACGTCGAGTACGAATGGCGTCTCCGAAACGAGGACCTGGACGAGAGCGAGGACGAGATGGAGGACAAGGTCGGCCGGTCTCGTCCGAGCGAGGCGCCGGGTGTTCGGTTCTGGACTTCACCGTGTGTTCTGTGTGCGCCCGCAGCCCATCCCGAACCGGCGTGACGAGCGCCCGGTCAGCTGCTTCGTGCCCGGCGGCGGCGGCGGCCCCATGCAGACCAATCTGGCGGCGCTGGCCCGCGACGCCGTCCTGGTGGTGCGGGACAAGCAGAGGCCTCCGATCCCGAGCAGCCTGATCAACAACGAGACGTACGGCACGGTTCTGGACGCGAACCTGCCGCCGCCGGGACCGATACCCCCGCTGCCCCCCAGAGGCCCAAACAGAGGTCGGTCATGGAGCCAACAAACTTTATTTACAATCAGCTGCTTCTACAGACTGTATCTGTTTCAGCTGTCGGTCTGTCCGAACCTTCAGCTCCTTCAGCAGATGCATGCTGGGACTTTGAGTCTTTTTTAACTTTTATACTTTTCAACATATTTAATGTTTTTATATGAATATTTTCCTCAGAAATACATTCAAACATCTTTGATTCATTCAGAAACATTTTTATCTTTAAAATCTGCTTCAAATACTCTCTTCTTATGCTACTTTGAGCTAGCCTTTTGATACTTTTAGCTAACCTTTTCTTATTTACTGGTAATCTGTTAGCTACCCTTTGCTACATTTGCTAGTATCTTGATACATTTAGCTTTTAGATAACAATTAGCTGTTTTTGCTACTTTTAACCTCTTGCTTGAGTTTTGCTGCTTATAGCTGTTTGCTAGTGGTCTGTGACTTTTAGCTAGTGTTTAGTTCATTGTAGCTAGCATAATGCTACTTAAGTTGGCATTTTCCAAATGTTAGCTTTTAAATAATGCTTTGCTCCTTTTAGCATTTAACTATTGTTTTGCGTCTATGCGTTTAAGCTCGTGTTTTTCTTCTGTTAGCTTATAGTTGTGTTCCGCCTTTCTTAGATTTTAGCTTGTGTTTTGCTCCATTTAGCTTTTAGCTCATGTTCTGCCTCTCTTAGCTTTTAGCTCATGTTTTGCTTCTTAGCTTTTAGCTCATGTTTTGCTTCTCTTAGCTTTTAGCTCATG